ACCTGGTACTGGAGCTCGATGCAGGCCTCTAAAAAACTTATTAATACTTCGACTTATTCCCAACATCAAAAAAAAAAAAAAAAAAAGAAGTTGGACCACCTGAAGCCCCAAGTGAATTTCAAATACTAGTTTGATTTGGTGTTGTATTAATGTGTAATGTCTGTCACAAATTACTTAATCACAATTGCTATACTTTCTATGAAAAAAATTAAAAATAAATAACATTTATATTTATCTAATTTATATTGCAATAATTTCACATTTATTTGTATCTTCAAGAGGTTGTGTAGACTTAGAGAATGAGAATTAATATCTGGATTCTACTACACCAGATATTAATTCAAAATGACATAGTTTAATGTTAATTTATATCAAAATGACGCCGTTCTGAACCCTAAAAATCCAACCCCTCTCTCTCGATCGATTGGCCAGACTATCCAGACAGCGCACCTCCATCCACCGGTGACGTCCCGAAGTATAAACGCTTGAGCAGCCAGCGGCCTCCTCTCCGGTATTATCTCTCTCTGTGAGGACGATGATGAAGCTTACTCAGTCGAACTACGAAACAGACTGTCCTCTGTCGCTGAAGTTGTGATCGGGGAATTTGTAGGAGTACAAACAAATCCTAAAAAACCCTAGATAAATTACTGCATTTACACGACGCTGGCTCGTAGAAGGAATACCCATTGAGCAAGAATAACTTCAGAAGATCATCACACAGGTCAGAAATTTCAGACGTTTCGAAGACGCCCTTGAGTCAAAATGAATAATATAATAATTGTTAAAGAGTTGGAAAGTTAAATAGAGTCAACTTTTAATCTTTCATTTCTCTAGCAAAATATCTTTCCAAGTCCAAAACAATCTACATTAAATTCATAATAATTACAATTCTAGTCCTCTGGCTAATCAATTTTGACATAAATTAACCATCCTTGTAGAAACATTGTTGCAATTGCAAAATTGATTTGTCAGACTTTTAACTTCCATTGGTGTCAATTGGGACCCCAACAGCTCAAGAACATGACTTTCTTCAGAGACTCCTCAGACTGCTGTGCCTGCTCTTCTCTTATTTTCCTTAATACAATAGCTGAAGATGATGATGATGATGATGGGGAGAGCTTCTTAGTTTGAGGGAAGGACCTGAGATTGGACTTAGCATATTGGTTTATGGACCTCATGGTGTAGTTCCATCTGCAGAAACCCTGATCTTTCAGTGCCTCCACTAGCCCAATGCTTCCTGCTACAACCCATGCTCTGCTTGCTGAACTCATCTCTCTCTTCTTTCTTCTTCTTCAAAAAAAAATCCGTTTCTTCTCTTTTTGGCTCTGGTCTTCTGAGTATTTGCAATTCCAACTAGGAAAAGGAGGGGTTTTCAGTTATGAGATGAAATGGGTTTTCAAGAATTTGTGGTTTTGATGATGTTCTGAGAGGTGGCTGTGTATGTTTTATATATAGACACAGATGAGTAAATGAAATAGCAAAAAGGGTGGAGAAAACAAGAGGCGATAGCTTTTTTTCCGGTGTTTTGGGGGCTGGGAAAGCCAATGGTTTTGGGGGTGCTTGGCACCTGGTTTTTCTTTCACACTTTATTATTATAATATATTTTAGGCCATAGTTTAGGAGTAAAACCATTAGCTTTCTACGACATGGGACAGCTACGGCAGTAGCATATATTAGTGTACCAGCCACAGTTTTGACCCGACAGTAGTAGTGACCCAAAACTTTAATAATAAAAAAAAACAGGCCCGCCACTACTGTAGCTTGTGGCGATAAGGTCAATGTTATCAAAATCAGATCCGTCGTTAAATGGGTAAAGGGACCGAATCTATGATTTATTAATTTACAATTGGTCAGATAGATCATATAATAAAGAAAATAAATATATATATATAATAATTATAAAAACATAATAATTTAATTAAAAAATATAAAATATTTTTAAAATGTATACAATGTACTATAAAATTAATAAAATTAAGTAAAAAAAACTCATGTGCCAAATATCAAAGTTCAACTTTAAAGCTCTAATACATAACAAAACAATCACTCCAAGTCCAAACCCCAAACCACAATCTTGATACACACCTCAAAACTTGCTGCCTGAACAGTGAACAGAACAGCCCAGATAGACACCTGAGTTGATCGCTGCCTGCTTGAGTTGATTGCTACCTGCCTGAGTTGATTGCTGCCTCCCGAGTGGTGAGACGAGGATGAAGAGCACTGGTCTGAGTGGTCTCTGTCTTATGTGATTTAGGGCAAAAATCAAAATGTCCCAAATTAAAAACAAAACATCATATTTAATTTTTCAGTTTTTTTTTAAATGGACTTCAAATCGGTAGGTTTGACGATTTTTACCCGATTCACTTTCGTATGCAGTTTGACTAGTAAACCGGACCAGTTGAGGCCTCAGGTCACAGTTGAACCGGTCTGATCAGCGGGTGCTGTCCGATTCTGATAACACTAGATAAGATAAATATTTTCGGGAAGTAAAAATCTAGAGTAAAGATGTGTTTACCGAAAAGGAAAAAATTATTGGATCTAATTTATTAATATTATTAGTCATAATTCTTGTTTGAAGGTACGATAAAATATAAAATTCTTCTTTTTTTTAATCAGAAATGATACATAAAATTTGAATACTTAAAAAATTGATCTCACTATATTAAATAATAAATTTTTCTTCATTCATTTCTTTGTTTACATTATTTAAAATTTAATTTTACCCATTATTTTTTAAAAAATATTGACAAATTTTTCTCAAAATACATAATTTCATAATTTCTTTTCAACAGATGTATACTATCATATATGTAATGTCTAAAATAAAAATTATGTTAAACTATAAATTAATCAAATAATTTTTGACAAAAAAAAAACTTGTGATAGAAATAAGAGATGTGATTTTTTGAGAAGATATATAAGAGATAAAAATTCAAGTTGTTAAACGTTTTATTATATAGATTTATTGACTTAATGCATTATATTCATTAAATTAGTAGCGGATCTCAACTAATTGTGAGTTCTGCTGTCAATTTAATGGCAAAAAAATGATAGGTGGGTCTTTTTTAACCCCACAAATCTTGCGTCTCACCTTTATGAAACTTTAAATTATAAAATTATTAATTTCACTCGTTCTATACTCACTCTAATTGTAACTAAATATACCTCATTCTTTACACACCCACTAAGAACTAAATTCATCTCAATCTTTACTTAGGATTTTTTTATAACCCATTGCACATAGTCTATACAAATAAATACTAACTTAATTATTTAGAATAAATCTCTCAAGTGATATTTAAGTTGATATTTGTTCCAAATTTATTTTATTTTACTGTATATATTTTTTTTATCAAAATCAATGATTTTCATTTAGGGTTTTTTTTTTATGTAAACTTAACTTATTATTTTTTTTTAAAGTCAAAGTCACATTAAATGATTAAAATATAAAAAGTATTTCAGTGAATGTTTATCCGTTCTTTTTTAAAATTTTGTTAACATTCAAACAAGGTTTTTTTTTTTTTTGTATATTTTATTCGAACTATAGTTGGTGGTATCCTAGCACATCAATACGTATCAAAGAATTCTTTTACACTTTTGTATTTTAGTTTAAACATTGCAAAAGTTAGATTTAGTCATTAATTGAGTGGGTATAAAATAGGAAGAACCAAGTCATTAGTGGGGTAAAAATAACAAAGGTGGACTCAATAATTTTATAATTGAGAATTTAATAGAGCGAGAAATGATATTTGTGGTGTGAGAATTGGGATCAATGGTTACCATCGTAAAAAGTTCGTGAGATCTACTGATTTAATAGTTTATAGTAATTTAGTAAGAAAAAAATTGATAAAAATTAATAATTTAGGCATCATAAATCAATAAATTAGGTCAAATTTATCTATTCTAAGTAGGACTGTCAATTTTCGACAAGGCACGTTAATACGACACGAACCGACCACGAAAATTAATAGGTTAAACACGACATTAAAAGAGTTAATGGGTTAAAACGGATCAACACGCTTAAACATGAAAAAAATCATGTCAGATTCATATCAAAATCAGGTCAACCTGATTTTGACCTAATTAATCCGTATATTTTAAACGTGTTGACATGATTCAGACACGAACCCCGACCTAACCTATTGTAGACCCGTTTAACCCGTCTATGACTGTATAATTTGTCTATTATGTATGATTAATATGATTTTAACATTATTACTTATTAGTTCTTCCTTCTACTATGATAATTGACATTATAATTTTTAACATTATTATGACGGTATATTAGTATAGTTCTTTCTTTAATTTTTACGTTAAAACTTGAATGTATCTTAGTTAATTTTATTGATGAGATGTGATATGTTATTTGTTAAAAAATTATTTAAAATTTTGAATTAATGATTGAATGATGTATTTAATGGTAATGAATTGGTGTAAAAATAAATTATGTGTATTAAACAAGTTTGTGTTATGCGTGTTAACTCGAAAACGATCTGTTTATCAAACGTTTCAAATAGGTCGAGTTCGGATAACCTATTTAATGGTCAGATAAGATTAATTTTTATACATCTCGACACGATTATTAAACATATCAGGTTTAGATTTCAAAAATTTTAATACAAACTCGAAATCAATCCAACACAATAATCTAATTTGATACATTTGACACCCCTAATTCTAAGGATCTTTGCCATTTGAATATTAGCTCTTTTGACAAAATAATTGACGAGATAAAAATGCTGCATGTCTCCCCCAATTCGTTGCCAGATGCTCCGAACGACTATTTGTGGCTATACTATTCTATCATTAATATGGGGGTGTCACTAACTCTTTATAAAACAAGGGGGATCCGGTATTAACCCATGGACATTAGCCAACCCAAAAAATGTAGCCAATAATAAATTCATTCACGTCGAGATTAAGATATTCATGAGGTATAAATCTCTCGTATGTTAATCATAACATATTGTTAATATATAAATCAAGACGTGAAATTCAAATGATCTAAAGTTTGTTGAAAACACAAAATTACCTTTCTACTCTTAGTCTTATATTTTGGATCATATTTTTAATCTTTTAAAAAACATCTAAAATATAGAGAAGGAAAAAAATCCCAATCACCTCCCTAACCAATGACAGTTGACGCCCCCTTCCCAAAGATGAACCCACCCTAATTCCCCTTCCTCTCCCTCCTTCCCTGGCCAAAACTATTTTCCTTGCCAACTCCCTAGCCTCATTCCTCCGGTTGAAACCACCTGCCTCCAAGTCCGCATAGCCATTATATAGTCGGAGTTCCTGTGGTGGTTGTGACGGTGCATTCACGGCAGCGATGTTGGTAAGGTTTGGTTTTGGTGGGGCACTTGCAGTGGGTGGTTGGTAACTTGTGAGGGGTGCTTGGCTTGGTGAAGGCTGTGTTGGAGGCGGGGGCGTTGAAGCTGCTCGCCCAATTAAGTGAAGATAAAATAAAAAAAGGAGTGCCAATAAAGTTGTAAGGATACAAAAATAATTATACAAATTTCCGTCCTCCTCTCTTGTCAATTTAGTCCATCTAAACTTGAAGGGCGTAAATTATTGAAATTAAAACCAGGAGTCAATTGTAACAAAACCCAAACTTGAAGGGCAGTAGCGAATTGATTGGGAACTTTGCATTGAAGAAATAGTTTGGATTTTCACTAATCTTTTAACAAAAGAGTCTCCCTTCTATTATGGAGAATACAATGAGTCATCATGCACTCTTCATCAATAATTTTCTCTCTCTTTCTAAGTTTCTTACCAAGAGAGGGAAAAATGATGATGGGTATGGGTGGGTTCAATTAGGACCCCAACAACTCAAATACATGATTTTTCTCAGAGACTCCTCTGATTGTTCTGCTTTCTCTTCTCTTACTTTACTTGAAACTACTGCAGAAGATTGAGATCCAGAGGGCCTCCTGGTCTGAGAGAAAGACCTGAGGTTGTTCTTGGCATGCTGGTGTAGCGATCTTATGCTATAGTTCCACCTACAGAATCCTTGATCTTTCAGTGCCTCCACAGCGCCAATACTAACTGCCATAACCCATGCTCTGCTTGGTGAACCCATTTTTTACTCCTTCAGAATATTCTTCTTCTTTCTTGTGATCTTACGAGTGTTTTAAGCCACGAACAGGATGTTTTTTCACGGAGAGAGAGAGAGAGAGAGATTTGTGTTTGTGATGAAGTTCTTGAGATAAAGAAGTCTATATATAAAACAGAGAATATATAAGAGAGAGCAGACCAGTGAGTATAAAACCAGGGCCTACAGGTTTCGCCGGTGGTTTTGGAGGTCTGTGGAAGCCAACGGTTTTTACCTTTTTGTTGGGATTAGCCAGGATGTGCCGGAATGACTGTTTTGGCTTTATTGTTCTCCTCATAAATCACATGTCAAAACTCACAATTATTAATTAGGTGGGAGATAAAGGATTAGTCTATTGTAGCGGGGGAAAAGTATAATTTTTTTTTTCTTTATACCTAAGTACTAGAACAAAATTGACAAGGTTAATACAAATTCACAGGAATGACATGGGCTATAATGTGAATAATAAATAATTTAAGAATATTTTATTGTTTGTATGAACAAGTCCAATTATTTATATATTTTATTTTGAATCACATATTATAGAAAAACTGTTAGAATTATAATACATTCTAGGATAAATTGTACAAATAGTCCCTAAAGTTTACCATTAGTTGAATTTTAGTCTTTAAATTTTTAATTACGTCAATTTAGTCTTGAAAATTCACGTATTCAACCAATGTCATCCCTCACACTAACTATCGTTTAAATTAGTGGCGAAAAATAGAATGTGTCAGGCACATAATACAATTTAAAGGCATTTAATTCTTTATTCTTACAAAACAAATGACATAGATGTGACATCATATATATGATAAATATAATGGTATGTTTACATATATGTGTAAGAGAGAGCGAGGGAGAGGGAGAGGGAGAGGGAGAGAGAATGGGGATCTGAGTGCTTTTTTCATAGATAGAAAAATTAGAGTAGAGAGAGAGAGAGAGATAAAGTGTTATGACTATCCTTGTTTTGTGCAGAGAGGGGGGGGGGAGGGAGAGGGAGAGAGGGCTTGCTAGGTTTGAGGGGTGTGTGTTGTTGTTGTGAGAGAGAGAGAAAAAAAAAAAAAAAAAGAGGTGAGGAAAAAATAGGTGTTTGGGTGTATATTTAAAATTGTTCAAATGAAAAATAATTACTTTAGGATGTAAAAATAATATATAGTAACTTAAATGTTCTTAATAATAATCACATATCTTCCACGTGATATTTTTCTGTTACTAATTTAAATTGTAATTAGTGCAAGGAATGACATTGGTCCAATACATGAACTTTGAGAACTAAATTAAAAAAATTAAAACTTTAAAAAGTTCAACTGATGACAAATTTTAAAGACTATTAGTGTATTTTACCCTATATTCTATGCTTGCATTAGGGTCAAATTGATTACAAGTTTACAGAGGCTTAGTGTGTGATGGGCTTTGACTAAAAGAGAATGGAGTCTACCTTCCTGGATTTAATTTCTAGGTTGCGATATAATTAATAAATAGATTAAGTTAGTTTTTACATATTAAATACAATTAATTAAATAAATCAAATTAAAATTTATTTCCTCATCAAGGAAATTTCTTTTTCTTTTTCTTTTTTTGGGCAAGTCGTCAAGGAAAAATTACTTTCAGGAGAAATAACTTTCTGGTTCCCTATCTTAATCAAAAGTATCCAAGCCTTAAAAACCAAGTCCCTGAAATGCAAATTGGGTGTTGCTTTCTTTAGAAGAGTTGTGACTCTTTATTTAAATAATTAATTATATAACTAATTATTATTAATAATACTAATATATATCAACATATACGTAACAATTGATTCATTTTGATCTCTTTAAAAATAAAAATATTTTGATAATTTTGAAACAAAATTTTGAACCACCGTCAAGGAGGCTTCTACAATACTTTAATTTTATCAGAAAAATCAATCTTGTCTACCTTGCCTTCCAAACTCAGTAAAAAAGATGAAAATAAAATGCTGTCCAAGAGGCAATTATCAGATTTTGATAGCAATATATATATATATATATATATATATATATATATATATATATATATATATATATATATATATATATAATCTTGCCAAGGCTCCAAAAATTTACATTTAATTCATAATTACAGTACTAGTCCTCCATCTTGCTAACCAATTCGACATTGAATTCGACTCTGCAGACTATTAATTCCCACTGGTGTGTGTCAATTGGGACCCCAACAGCTCAAGAACATGACTTTCTTCAGAGACTCCTCAGATTGGTTTGCCTGCTCTTCTCTTATTTTCCTTAATACCACAGCTGAAGATGATGGTGATGATGGGGAGAGCTTCTTAGCTTGAGAGAAGCACCTGAGATTGGACTTAGCATATTGGTTTATGGACCTCATGGTGTAGTTCCATCTGCAGAAACCCTGATCTTTCAGTGCCTCCACTAGCCCAATGCTTCCTGCTACAACCCATGCTCTGCTTGCTGAACTCATCTCTGTCTTCTTCTGTTTCTTTCTTATCTCTGGGTTTCTGAGTATTTGGAGTTCCGAATAGAAAATTTGGGATATTCACTTGTGAGATGAAATGGGTTTTCAAGAATTTGTGGTTTTGATGATGTTATGAGAGGTGGGTGGGTGTGTGTTATATATGATGAACACGGATGAGTAGACGAAGAAGCAAAAAGGTGGGAGAAAACAAGAGGCGATAGCTGCTGCTTTTTTTTTTTTCCGGGGTTTTGGAGGCGATGGGACCTGGTTTTTCATTCAACTTCAAGTCATTATATTTTAGGCCACAGTATAGATGTAAAACCAGTGGCTTTCAGTGACCTGGGAGGTACTGTGGGACTGACAGCTATGTCAGTAAAACATGAAGTGTATCAACAAAAGTTTTGCCCCGGCTCTAGTGCGAGGTTTTTCCCGTACTTCTTAAAATTTTATTTTCATAATTAAGTCACTTTTAAACACATTCCTCCAATTCAATTTTATTTTGAATTCGTCATTTAAAATGATATTTTTGTATATTAAATAGTCATTTACAATGACGACCGGGAGATGAAATTTTTTATTAAAAACGTCATTAACAATGACATGTTTTAAGATGAATCAAATTACCGGGAGCTAACATTCGTTAAAAAAAAGAGGAGGTATAAAACGTCAATTGTAATGACATATTTTACTTTACTGATTTTTTAAAACCCATCTCTCTCATAGTCGTGTATCACAGTGGTGTATTAGATCCTCTCCTTTCTCTCTCGCTCAGATAGCCATCCAGTCGAAGCCCGCGCATCCAGTCGAAGACCTCCTTCTTCCACCATCCAGTTGAAGGCCTCCTTCTTCCAACCCGTCGAAGACCAGTCCGACGAGGAACACTTCGGCCCTCCTTATTCCACCAAACCGTCTGAAGAAGAGGAACACTCTAGCAAATCCAGAATAGTAAGTTCTTATTATCGATACATGAACTCAGATTTTGAATATATATATATATATATATATATATATATATATATATATATATATATATATATATATATATATATATATATATATACACGACCACTCTCATCTTTTGGAACTTATAATTTTTTTTATTGTTTCTGCACAATATACCCTAATCAAGTAGTTGATTCAGACCTAATCAACAAATTGTAGCTCCTTTTGGGCAATATATATATATATATATATATATATATATATATACACACACACACACACACACGACCACTCTCATCTTTTGGAACTTATAATTTTTTTATTGTTTCTGCACAATATACCCTAATCAACTATGACATTCAGACCTAATCAACAAATTGTAGCTCCTTTTGGGCAAAATGTAATTTATTTTGGGTTTCTCATCATTATCATATTAGTTAATAGACATAGAGAGAAGCCAAATTTGGTATAAGCTTGTTCATGGCATATTGCTAGTTGAATTTGGTATAAACTTGTTGATGGCACATTGTTGGTTGAATTTGGTATAAACTTGTTCATGGGAAATAAGATATTTTGGCTCATGGCATATTGCTGGTTGAATTGGTTTAAATTTGGTATAAACTTGTTGGTTTAATACCCAATTTTTAATTTTGCATAATTGAATTTAGCATTAGATGCAAAATTATGCAAGAAAATGAGATAGCTTGGTGGGTTCCATGTTGAATAATTTGAAAATATAAGATTTCATATTGACATGAGTTTTGTCATATCATTGAAATAATAACAAAGGTAAGTTATTTCCATGATAAATAACAAAAGAGGAAGATTTTTTATTTTTTATGCTTATGTATCTCAAGTAGAAAGTCATTTAAAAGAGAGATTACGTCACTTAGAAAATTGTTCAAACATAATTGTAGAATCATCAGGTGAGGTGGTGTTCTAGAATCCTAGAAGATGGAATTTTTTCTCTGGTGAATTGGACAATCTAAAAATGGCATGCCTAAGCTTTGAATTTAGGATGCCATTTCTTCTTAAGATAAAATATGTAAAATTGAAAGCAATAAGTAATTAATTGGTTTGCATTTGAACTGTCACATTCGTAATGACAGGAATTCTACACATGTACATGAAAATCACTATATACTAGGCTTCGTTCCATCTAAATAATATTTAAAGGAAATGAGAAAACAATAGAGAAAGACCCGACACCAGCAGTTGAATAAGAATAAATATAGTCATCCACTACTTTTAGTTTCGTGATGAATTTACTGTGATCAAATTTTCTTTTGGATGCTGCACTAATGTCTTACTGTTTTTAGGGACTGCATGTTGGTCCATGTTCGTTCTGCAGGATGTTGCTTTAAATCCCACCTATTTTCGTGGACTGCATACTTGTTGAGAAATAAGTACCAAAGTAATATGTACTCTTTTGGGATCATTTAATCAGCATTGACGCGTAAATATTTGGCCTACTTACTCCAACCCATGCTCTTTGTATTAGTTGAAATTTCTAAACCTAGATCAATCACTAAAGTAAATATTTGGCCTACTTACTCCAACCCATGCTCTTTGTGCTCGACCCTTCAGCCAGGATGGGTAATTATTACACCCCTTTAACAATGCAATGTATGGAAGAATACAATCGATATACACATTGTTGGCCTTTAATCAGCATCGATGACACATATGTAAATGGCAAGTACAAGCATAAGCTTCTTATTGCTACTGGAATTGACGCTCAAAAGCAGATTTTCCCTCTAATATTTGCCTTTGTTAATGAGGAGACTAGTAAAAACTGAGATTGGTTCCTATATCATCTGCGCCACTCTGTTGTGTCGAATAGAGTTGGTATATGCTTAATCTCAGATCGACATAAAGGTATAATTTCAGCGGTTAAGAAACAAGGTTCTGGGTGGAATGAGTCATACGCCTATCATCATTTCTGTCTAAGACATGTACAAAACAATTTCAACACACGTTACAATAACACGTATTTGAAAGATCAAGTGTGGAAGGCTGGGACAGCACATCAGATTCGCAAGTTTAATTTGATAATGGAAGAAATTAAAAATATAAATCCTGAAGCATGGAAATGGTTAGCTGATATTCTAGCACAACAGTGGACACTTGCCTATGATGGTGGTCGGCGATACGAAACAACCACAACTAATGTTTCTGAGGTGTTCAATGGTGCATTGAAAGGTGCTAGGATGCTTCCCATCACTGCATGTGTTAAATTCATATTTTATCGGCTCGCAAAATACTTTTGTTAACGCCGTGAACATGCACAACAGTGCATAAAGGATGGTTTGGAGTACTCACCTGATGCAATCGAATTTATGCGACCCAACCAGGTAAAAGCAGGAATGTGTACTATTACACCATTTCACATGCGACGAGAAGTTACGGAGGTGGTCAGTAATAACGGTAATACACATGTTGTTTGTATTGATGATTGGACATGCAGTTATGGAAAATTTATAATTTATAAAATACCTTGTTCTCATGTTATGGCCGCATGCTAGCATTTCCATGTTAGTTCTTGGAATTTAATCGATCCAGTATATACCATCCTTGCACTTGAATCCAGTTGGGCACTTGATCTTCATCCTTTGCACCACCAAGATTATTGGGATGCTACTGATGACCCTACATTATGCCCTGATAGGTCGTTGCGTCGAGGAGCTAGAGGACGTCCAAAGACCTCGCGCATTCGAAATGAAATGGATTTTCCGAGAGAAGGGCGTAAATAGAACCATTGTAGTATTTGTTTGTAAGCAGGGCACGATCGCCAAACTTGTCCAGCAAAGAACCAATCCGCTTCTTCAATGGGTCATCCACTATAAATGTTACTTGTGCATTCTAATGTTGTATGTAAGTTGTAATGCATTATTAATTGTTTGAGTCCTTTATTCAGCATTTAATATTTTTTTAACTCATGTATATATATGTTAACTAATGTTTGTATTTTTTTGTGTGTTGATGTAGTTTGTATACATGGATCGTGATTCCCGTTAATTAGTACATCCAGGTCCCGATGATGGATCCGTTCTTACCTTACAGGGTGACCATCGTACAACTGCTATTTGGGAGGGTATAGACTTACCCCCGTTACATTGTAGACGATCAGAGGCTCCTCTTCGTCGAGTTACCATCACAGATGATCGGGTTATTCAACATCTACGTATAGCCGGGTTTTATGGAGCATATCGCCTTAGATACATTCAGTTGGACTGACATCTGATTACTACTCTTGTAGAGCAATGGCGCTCTAAGACACACATATTTCATCTGCCAGTTGGTGAGGTGACCATCACACTTCAGGATACAGCTGTATTAATTGGTCTGTCAGTTGATGGGATGTCTGTATATGGTGTAGACACCGTCCGCGATGTACAGCAGTGGAGTGTCATGTGCAGTGAGTTGTTCGGGTTCACACCAGCCGATGGAGCGATAGATAAGTCCACTCTACGACTAAGTGCACTTGCCGAGCATTTGGGCCACGCGATTCTAGCTGATGCAACCGAGGGTTTTATAGCTTGTTATGCCCGAGCGTACATCCTTTTGTTGATTGGGGGGTCTTTGTTCGGCGACAAGTTGTCGAGTAGGGTAAAGCTTATGTTCCTACCATTACTCGGAGACTTACATGCGGCCGACACTTTTAGTTGGGGCAGTGTGGCCCCAGCATGGCTATATCGGGAGATGTGTCTCGCGACTAAGCGGGACGTGAAGGATATTAGCGGTCCATTAATTTTGCTTCAGGTAATTATTTGCATTCTTCACTGACTTGTATACTTTTATGTTATTGTCGCTTTACAAATATAAATTCAATGTTTGTGGATGTAGTTGTGGGCATGGAAGTGTCTGGTACACATCGTTCCACAACGATGCTCGACGGTAATGGTCCACCATTAGAAGGAGTTGGTGTAGATTTGGGTCCTGCACATGAAGAGGTTGATGCGCATGGTGTACTTGATGGTCCACTTGGTTGTAGGTTTGTATTATACAATTTTACATATTATTATGTAGTTACATTTTATAGTTACATTTTACATATTATTATGTAGTTATATTTTTTTTGTAAAATTTATAGATGGGATGTCACATTTTCGGAGCAGCACGCGCCCCAACATGTACTACGTTATTATTGGGACCAGTTGGACCAGATGCGCAAGGATCAGGTATATCGGCTTGACCATGATTAGAGAACTTGGATGTTATTTTTTTAAGTATGTTAGTGTGTTGGGTTGATTGCAATGAATTTACATGTGAAGTAAATACATGCGGAGATGGTTGGATGTAATTTTTATTTGTTTATACTTGTGATTGAGTTGGGTTTGTTGTATACAGGTTAAATTTTTTTGGAAATTTCTAATTTTCAAAGGAAACTCTGCCCAATTTTTTTAAAAATACCGTTACATTTATTAATGAGTGTTCAAAATTTGTATTACAGATAATATGAGAGCCCTATACAGCTGATGTAATGGGTGACCTGCCAGATTATTGCCTTATTGGGCAAGATATTTGGCGCACACGAGCCCCTTTGATTTGCTTCGATGTCGTGGAGTGGCATTTTTCAGATCGAGTTACTCGACAGTTTGGGCTGATTTAGCGCATACCACCGCCATGCGATACCAGTCGGGCCTTGCATGCTGTCAACCGTCGAGGTAGATCTGGTCGGGATTGGTCAGTAGTTCATTAGATCTATACAGAGATGTGGGCACATCGTAGAGATACTATTGTTACTGGAGATCTGAGTACTAGACCGATGGATCCGACCGACGCATACATGCAATGGTATCGTTGGATCACACGGCATCTTGTTGGTCCACCCATGGGTAGGCTGACTGTCGATTTTCAGCCAGTTGGGAGCATCATAGAGCTTCTGGTAAGATGTTAAATGCTTAACTATTCAATTTGAATGGATAATTTTACTAATTGTTTAATACATATATAATTTTTTTGTAATATTGTTTGTAGGAACAGACACTTACACAGATATATCACACTGGACGTACTATATATGAGGGCAGCCCGGACTTTGCATATTGCATGGACACTATTGGTCATATGATAGATATGAGCTCATCGTGTTTGACAGCTCTCCGAGAGCACCGACGACTCGACTCAGCTTCACTGTCGGCAGATGACGTACCGTCTACATCTGCACAGCCACCTCCATATCTTTACCAAGATTCGACTACTCCAGTATATTCACCATCAGCATCGACACAGGCTCATGCACCTTCACTGACCCCAGCGTCTACACCGATCGCTAGGCCGACACATGAGCCTGCACTGACACCTTTAGTTGCGCCGACACTTGAGATGACACTGACACCGACTACAACACCGGCATCTGCATCTGTAACTGACCATTTACTGACACCAGTATCGATACATGTATCCACTGCGACGATAGCATCGACACCGATACCGACACCGACTCCGACATCTACCATAACACTAGGACCGGTACCGACATCTACACTTGATCATCTACCGGCACCGGCACCGACACTTGGAGCTATCCCGACACCGACACTAACATCAAGACCTTCACCTACTATTGCACATGGCCAGACACCGACACATGTGCTGACATCGACATCTATCCCGACATAGACACTGGCATCGGTATCTACCCCCGACACCTGCGCTGGCATCGACATCGGCATCTACCCCGACACCGGCATTGACACTGACATCTACCCTGACACCAGCACTAGCACCGGCACCGACACCGACACCTACACTGGCATCGACATCTACCTCGATATCGTTTGTAGTTGATTCGATACCTATCTCATCTACACAGCCTCTCATATCAAATCCATTATTAGATGAGGAGAGAGTGACACAGAATCCTACAGTTGTAGGTGTAGGCCTTGTGTGAGTCAGGCTACGTGTTAGAGGTGGACGACAAGGTCGGGAACGGGGGCGAGGGATAGGTAGAGCGCGTGCACAGTATGCACATCATCATCATGATGTTGATGTGTCACAGGTGACACAGGATATATCACAGGATGTTGAATAGGAGGTTCGCAGACAGCCAAAGTGACATAGACGACCACCTGTGTGTGGGACATGATATGATATTCATGTATTTGATGCATTTTTTTTTGTTATACTGTGTACTAATGTTTTCTTTTGTATATACGTTGTCATTTATACAAAGATGTTTTGTTATAGTATTCTACAATCAAGTTGTCACATACATAACTTCACCATCATAACAAATCTAATTGACTTCAACATTACACATACATTACATTTCACATGTAAAAATTAACACTAAAATAACATGATCTACACAAAACAACACTAACATACAACTT